TTGTCCTGTAGTAAAATGTCCCCTGTTAACTCTATACGATTTGTGATATGAATGTAAAAAGAAGTAATGCAAAGTTCTGTGGCTGAAAATGACTTTTATCTAATGCCTCACATTGAAAATATAAATAATTTGACCTCTCGGCCTTAAACAGTTACTTACGATATCTGCAGGTCTTGAAAAAGTATTTTAAGAGCATTTTAAAAGCATTTGTATTTTAGTTTTGTGGCATTTAAAACAAGGGAAGTAACTTTTTGGTAGAACTGCTAACTTTTGAGAAACCATTGGTAAGCATACTATTTGTTTCTTTTGATGTAAAACCTTAATCAGACAACAAAACGACAGCTGTCAAAAATGTACTGGAGTAAAAAGAAACATATATGTAAGCTTCTCAACAAGTGTATTCCTGTCTAGATGTTTTACTATTTGGCATGGTGAACATATCTTTGTCACTGTCCTTACCCTGCAGCTAACTTGGCTCTGGGAGGAGCGGCTGTATCGTCAACAATGTGGGACTACGCCCATCGACCAAGCAATGCAATTGATGGCAGAGATGAAACAAACCAATTTATCCACAGGAGCTGTTTTGCCTCTCTGGTGGAGAAGGACCCCTGATGGAGGGTTGATTTGGGGGGTCTGTTTGACATCTCAACCATTGAAATCCTCCGAAGAACAGATTGCTGCGGCTATGAACTTGACTCGGCAGGAATCCTCATTAGTAGCCCACTGGAGAACACTACCAGGTGATCGAATAGGTTAAACTAGCCTGACAATCGGACAGGGTTTTCATTTTCTTCTCCCCCCAGCATAACATTACATTATATTTCATTTGGCAGACGCTTTTATCCAAAGCGACTTACAGTAAGTGCATTCAACCAGGAGGGTACAGATTAACAAGAATCATGTAGGTACATTAGTTTGAACTATGCCAAATCATTCGAAGCGCTAGTACCTTAGCTTCAACTAAGCCAAACCATTTGAAGTGCTATACCTTAGCTTCAACTATGCAAAACCATTCTAAGCGCTAGTACCTTAGCTTCAACTAAGCCAAATCATTCGAAGCGCTAGTACCTTAGCTTCAACTAAGCCAAACCATTTGAAGCGCTAGTACCTTAGCTTCAACTAAGCCAAACCATTTGAAGTGCTAGTACCTTAGCTTCAACTAAGCCAAACCATTTGAAGTGCTATACCTTAGCTTCAACTATGCAAAACCATTCGAAGCGCTAGTACCTTAGCTTCAACTAAGCCAAATCATTCGAAGCGCTAGTACCTTAGCTTCAACTAAGCCAAACCATTTGAAGCGCTAGTACCTTAGCTTCAACTAAGCCAAACCATTTGAAGCGCTAGTACCTTAGCTTCAACTATGCAAAACCATTCGAAGCGCTAGTACCTTAGCTTCAACTAAGCCAAACCATTCGAAGCGCTAGTACCTTAGCTTCAACTAAGCCAAACCATTTAAAGTGCTAATACATTAGCTTCAACTAAGCCAAACCATTTAAAGGAGACCTATCATGCTATATTTGAATAATATATTGTCGGGCCATACCTATATAAGGTATATTTATACGTTTTATTTTTGAAAATACCAAACGGATCATGCCTTTTAGCCATGCCTAATTTCGCTCTATTTTGCTCTCCTCCACCCCTGTCTTTGCATGCACTGCAGCTGACCACGCCCCCCTGCAAAGGAGGGGGCCGAGTTACGAGCGTCATGTTACCATGGTGTTACCGTGATGCCACGGCAACCTCTCATTCCCCTGATTGGTGGAGAGTTGCCCATATAGGCGGAGCTCCTCGTCACTGACGTCAGACTATTTTCAAATCTGTATCAGTCTGTATCAGATCCGTTAAAGCCCAGTTTTTAGAGATTTTGGGTTTGGAGGAAAAGAGAGAGGGTTGTGTTTTCTGACACTTAGTGAGTTCCCTGACACACCGGGGACACATCTTCATGTATAAAAGACGTACAAAGGTGCATTTTGCATGATACAGTAGGTCCCCTTTAAAGTGCTAATACATTGGCTTCAACTAAGCCAAACCATTCAAAGTGCTAGTACCTTAGCTTCAACTAAAACATTCCGTTCTAAGTGCTTGAACATTATTACAATATGTATAGAGATTTCATTGGCCGAGGTGCAGTCAAAAAAGGTGTGTTTTCAGTCTGCAAAGGAACTTATCACATCACACTTACTTTATGTTCATGTTGAATATTTTTCAGGTGAGTTAAGTTGCCAGGAATCACTGATTGAGGTTTTAAATCTGTACTGTACTTCCTGTCTGTCCTCCTCCCTCAGATGTGCAGTCATTCCTGTGAGCAGTTCAGTTAAAATGACCTTCCATTGCAACCAGAAGCAAGTACGCTACGTCCACATTATCCGTCCAGGAAATGATACTACACTTCAAGTTTGTGAGGTCAAAGTGTTCGCTGCAACCCCCATCACAGGAGGTAACAAACACTAAACAATGGCACCTAAAGCTGATTCAATTAAGCACTGGGAACATAATTAAGTAGATATCTGAACAATATTGTTAGTGTTTTGATACTTACATAAAGTGATCAACTCATTTTCAGACAGGTTTTTATATAAATGGATCAGGACAAAAAGTGGGAGAATCTTTTTTCCTGAAACTTTCAGAATCTCTTTACGAAGAGGGGACACATGTTGATGTAGAAGAGACATGAAGAAGTGGATTTAGCATAATAGGTGACCTTTAAGGGCTTTCATGTGTAGATGTTTTACATATTTTGCATTGCAAACATAAATCTTTGTCACTGTGCTCACACTGCAGTGAATGTGGCTCTGGGTGGAGTGGCTGCGGCGTCATCACAGTACGACATTTACCATCGACCAAGCTTAGCCATTGATGGCAAACCTTATTCAGACCATAGTCTGTACCAGAGCTGTTTTAGCTCTTTGACGAATAGTAACCCCTGGTGGAGATTGGACATGCGGGGTCCGTATGACATCTTATCCATTGAAGTCCTTCGAAGAACAGATTGCTGCGGCAATGTGGTTAATGGGGCAGAAATACGCATTGGTAACTCACTGGAGAACAATGGCAACAACAATCCCAGGTGATGAGAAGACATTTTGTTTTCACAATATTATTCACACTGACATTGTGTTCATGTGGGATATTTTCCTCTGGATAAAGTAGGCCGACTTTGTTTAGTTTGGCCTTAACCAATCAGCATAAGGCATCTTGTTCCTAAAATAGTGACATAATGGGTACCCATTGCTAGCCAATATGCATTTTCTAACTGTCCCTTTTACCCTCCTTTAGATGTGCAGTCATCACCGTGACCAGTAATGCTACCATGACCTTCAACTGTAACCACATGCAAGGACGCTACGTCAACATAATCAACCCTGGAGTAGGAAAAGATCTTCAGATGTGTGAGGTCAAAGTGTACACCACTACCCAACTTACAGGAGGTAATGCGTCACTAAACAATGGCATCCAAGCTTGATTAACTGATGGAGTGTTTCTTATGGGAACATCATGAAGTATACATTTACACAATTTGGTTAAGTATTGCTTCTATGGTTAAAGCACCAATTTCCACCTGATTCTTTTCATTAATTTTGTCATAACTGCCTTTATACCACTCTTGCCAGCTAATGTTGCACCAAGAGGAATAGCTACGCTGTCTTCAGCACCTGCTTCTACACAAACTTCTCAACATATGGCTATTGATGAACACCCTGGGCCGACGGATGCTCTGGAAACCTGTGCCTCCGTCGCACTGCAAGACAACCCGTGGTGGCAACTTGACCTGAGGAATATCTACCGCATAACTGCTGTGTCTATCCTCAGCTCAGGAGACTGCTGCTCGGAGCAGCTGAACGGGGCGGAGGTCCGCATCGGCCTCAGCAAGGACGTTACCAACCAGAGGTGATACAAGCACGAACAAAAGATACAGTAACTTACTTGCCGCATAGCATTAAAGATATTATACTGTTTTTCATCAATATACTATAGGTCTCAGATATATACAGAACATGTCTCTGAAGTGTTCTGCTCGAAATACCAAACAGATCATTGCAGCATTACCCATAATCCCCTCTGTTTCAGCCCTGTTTCCAAAGTGCTGATTCTCTGTCTGTTACTTTAGATGAAAATAAGGAGCCCCTCCCCACGCCCCTCTGAGAGACATTTGGTTACAAAGAACACAATGGTGCACTAGGAGGAGATTCAGGTGATAAGGTGGGGGGGGCGTTACCTTGGTTGGCAATTGGCTAATGGTTACACAAGACAACAAATTGGGCAAAATCTGATCAGCTCATTTTCAGACAGGTTTTTATAGAAATGGATCAGGACAAAAAGAGAGAGAATCTTTTTTCCTGAAACTTTCAGAATCTCTTTCCACAGAGGGGACAAATGTTGATGTAGAAGAGACATGAAGAAGAGGGGACACATGTTGATGTAGAGGAGACATGAAGAAGAGGGGACACATGTTGATGTAGAGGAGACATGAAGAAGAGGGGACACATGTTGATGTAGAGGAGACATGAAGAAGAGGGGACACATGTTGATGTAGAAGAAACATGAAGAAGAGGGGACACATGTTGATGTAGAGGAGACATGAAGAAGAGGGACACATGTTGATGTAGAAGAAACATGAAGAAGAGGGACACATGTTGATGTAGAAGAGACATGAAGACGAGGGGACACATGTTGATGTAGAAGAGACATGAAGAAGAGGGGACACATGTTGATGTAGAAGAGACATGAAGAAGAGGGGACACATGCTGATGTAGAAGAGACATGAAGAAGAGGGGACACATGCTGATGTAGAAGAGACATGAAGAAGAGGGGACACATGTTGATGTAGAAGAGACATGAAGAAGAGGGGACACATGTTGATGTAGAAAAGACGTGAATAAGTGGAATTTGCATAATAGGTGACCTTTATTCTCCCTTTTAACATCCTCCTTCTTTCAGGTGTGCCATCATCTTCGTTTCAGAGGGAGAGCAGAAATACATTCTACCAATGTGGAATAATGGAAGGACGCTTCGTACATGTTTACCTTCCTGGTCTACAGAAGACTTTGACTCTTTGTGAAGTAGAGGTGTATGGTACTCTGCTTGGTAAGCTCCAAATGATAATGGCTGTTTAGACTTCTCATAAATCTCCAGACTGCATTGTTTACTTGACATTAAACAGAAGCCTTTGTTATATTTCTTCCAGTAAAGAATGCTTTTCTTGGTTCTGTTTGACCCTCACTAGAAAACGTGGCTTTGAGAGGACTGGCTTTTCATTCTTCCTCAAGTCTGGAAAACAGTGTAGCCAGCAAAGTCATTGATGGCAATCAGTCTTCCACCTGCAGCATAGCCATTGAGCAGCCAGGTCCGTGGGTAACAGTGGATCTACTGGTTCCTTACAGTGTGACTGCAGTCCAACTCGCCTACAGCTCCAACTGCTGCTTCAGTTACGATGTCCGTGTAGATGACACAAGGTGATATATAGTTGGACAATGTTGGAGGAATGCATAGCTCGACCTATTTCTCATAATTTGTCTCGTGGGTAGAACACTTTTTGAAATTATATAAATTAAGTTTAAAGGTAAATCAAGCAAAGTTTCATATACTTCTTCTTCTTTATCTTTTTCAGCTGTGAGGTCATCTCCAGTAATTCATATTCTTTGATGACCCTGGATTGCGGTGGGATTGTGGGTCGCTATGTGACTGTGATCCATCATGGCGTAGCACCGCCTCTGTGCGAGGTGGAGGTCTATAGCACTTTGGAAAATCTTCAAAACAGATTCCCTCAGCTGCCCCCGCCCCATGGTAAACATATAACGCTGTATTACAATCTCTTTACAATACAAACATCCAACCAGGATTGTAAGGCTCATACCATTTGCAGACGATACTGTCATCTATCAGTATCTTGTTAAAACCAAAGATCAAATCATCTACTGAATGAAAATGTAAAATGTTCCTCGTTACATTTTTACTGATTGAATCGAGCATGATGTGTAACAGGCATTCATACTGGTACTTTCTGACTACGTCATTCCCGTATTTTCTATTCAAATTACAGTTAAAGATTACTGCTCCGATGTGTCCTGTGGACGAGACTACATTCTCATTCCTGATGAACCCAAAACATGGTTTGAAGCCCAGAGCTACTGCAGAGAGAAGTACACTGACCTGGCCACCATCAACGACGTTCAGGACATGTATAGGGTCATGGAAAAGATGGAGAATTACTCCAAAAAAGACTTTTGGATTGGGCTGTATGAAGACGTTGCTACCTGGAGGTGGTCTCTGTCAGGTTATTATGGAGCGAGTGAAGCTGAGTTCAGGAACTGGGGTGCTGGTGAACCCAATCTGGAGAGGGCCACCCAGGACTGTGCAGGCATACAACACACGGGAGAATGGAGAGACCTGCAATGTGACTTACTTAACTTCTTCCTATGCTTTGATGGTAATATGAAGGAAAATATTATGCACACATCAACATTTATTCAAAGCTAATGCTCTTTTATTCCAGGAACGAGTAGGTTTTCGTTGTGTTTTGGTGCATCATGATTCTTTCTGTGTTCACAGGCAGAACAGGTGCACTCAAAAGCAAGATTCTCCTGGAAACAGCTATGAATTGGGCCGACGCTCACAGCTACTGTAGGAAACACCACACAGACCTGCTCAGTGTGAGAAACCAGGCGGAGAACCAGGAAGTCCAGAGCATGGTGCCGGAAGGAAAGCTGGCCTGGATCGGCCTCTTTCAAGACTCCTGGAAGTGGTCAGACGGGAGTTACTCCTCGTTCAGATACTTGTCTCAGGAACAACTCCTTTTAGGAGAGGGTCCCAACTGCGCTCATGTTTCCGGCAGGAAATGGAACGCCAGGTCCTGCGACACCAAATCTATGTTTCTCTGCTACAGTAAGTGCTACAGGGGGTCAGACAATAAATCTATTTGTTTTTGGCACTTTTTAATAGTGGGTAGCTGGCTCCTCCATCAGAACTTTTTCATTTTTCAAAATAACAAACATTAATCCTAGGGCTTAGGGTTATTTAGAGAATCTGAAAAACACAAAAATAGTGCGTATTTAGAGAGTCTAAACAAAACTAAAATGGTTGCGACAGATAACCCACTAGTACAGTTTTTTTTAAATGAAAGGATTTGGTGCACCATAAATATTCAATTCAATTAATTAAAAATATAATTGTTTGATTAACTGATGATGAAAAATAATAACATAGTTTGTATCCCCACTCACATTGTTGACATGCATTATTGTTTACCTTGAGTATGTTTATTTAATACATGTATATAGAGTATATGGATTTGATGTAAAGTGCCAGGTACCCAGCCATTTGTTAATATATTTGAAATGCACAAGTTTGTTTCTGTGATAAATAGGGATGGGTATCGTTAGGATTTTATCGATACCGATACCGGTACTGCTTATAGGTATCGGTATTTTTCGATACTCTTATCGATACTTTTCAATAATTTGGTGCTCAAAATTATAGACATGAATACAAGATGTGAAGATTAAACAGTCATTGTATTGTAATTTTCTTGCAGGAATAACTGTATAACTTATACATTAGCTTCTCAGAAGCAGACACAAATAAATAAATAACTTAAAGGGGCCTGGCTCGCCCTATCATGCTTGTTGGGGTTTTCCCTCAGACAGAGGATGAAAAGAGGCATTTGTTTTGCGCACCCAGACCTTCGATCGCTTCGCTCTGTCCGCCATGCCTGCGGGAGTCTCACAACAATAATAAGAGCGCTGTTGAGAGAGATGACGAGTGGCATTTACAGTGGCCAATCAGAGGGGTCTCAAACAGGATACATCACACAAGATGAGGGTTCCCAACCAACCAGAATGGTTTAAAGTCAAACTAAGGAAGTAGACGTAACAGTGGCGAAGTCCCTCCCCTTCCGGTGGACCTCCATGGGACCTTGGCCCTTTCTAATTTCTCTAACTCCCTCCTCGACTCCTATCCTCGAGACTTAGTCCCGCCCACAGGAGATGCGAACGGAGGAGTCGAGGAGGGGAACCGAGGAGAGAGGAGGGTAAGCAGCAGGCGGTTAGAGAAATGAGAAACTCCTCTCCTCTGAGCGGTCATTTTAAAGAGACGTCCATTAATGATGACAGGAGGCACAGCAGCCCTCTGTCTGATGGACAGATGTGTTCATGACGACTTATATATTTACTTTTAATTCATTCACAGTGCGGTATAATGAGACAATAACAGGCTACAGATGTGGACACACACATACACACACACACACATATATATTTATATAAATATATACCATTTCAGAATCAAACAGAGCACTCTCATAATAACGTAACACTATCAGCGACTGGATATATCCCCCCCTCTCTGGTCGCTACAATGAGGGAAATAAATATTACAGGCCAAAAGTTTTATTTACAAGTATTAAAAGTAAGCAGAGGACACCAAACCAACTGAGACCTGTCTGTCCGCTGCATCTGCACACACTGTACCACACACACCTACACTGTACAACACACACACCTACACACTGTACAACACACACACACATACACACTACCACACACACCTACAGCTCCTAAAGCATAATCAGGCTACAGCCGTTGTGTATTTTATTATGTGAAGCACTAAATGGTCTTAGAAAAATATCAACTCTTTGTTTGTAGATATCTACTAAACTAAAGCAAATAAAGAGAATAATGTAGGTCTGTTATACTGAGTGATATATATTATACACACGGCTCTGCTTTCTGCACGGACCTCACAGCTGTTCTCACTGTAAACATCGCGTTGCGATGAGAGCAGTTAATAAAATAATATCCAGGGGATGCATGCAGAGCTGTCATTGGCTGAGATAAGTCCGGCCGTGCGTCACGACTCTTTGAAACATCTCTGTTCCCGGAAATGCATCCACGAAAGAGCCGTGGAGGACCGTGGAGGACCCATCAGTGTATCCTCGGTTATAGCTGAGCCTCCTCGACGCTCGATCCTCGAAGTGCATTTAGAGAAATGAGATGTCCTTCAACATGGCGCGCTAAAATTCATTTCCGGGTCACTACCGGAGGACCGAGGAGTCGAGGAGGGGGATTTGATGAAATGAGAAAGGGCCCTTATTTCGAAAAAATTATGTATTGAAGTCAATGGAGAGAGAAAGATTATCTTTCGATCCCGTTTGAATTGTGCCACAAATTACACATATGATGTTTGTCAATTTAAAAGATAATTTTAACAATAAAATGTGTCGTAAAACTGTGAAGTAACACATTTGTTTGTGTGAAACGCTCAATGAACTACATCTCCGGTCTAGCAGAACAACACACGTCACCAAGATGGCCGTCACTACTGTCTTGTCAACAAAACGATTGACTACCCTCACTATCACCACAATGAACTCTTCAGAGAGTTCACGAAATATGACTACTACTCTTACTGTTTAACATGTTGGGTTACTTAATGTTACTTCATGTTAAGGCTAATCAAAATGACAAGGCTGTAATGCTAACTAACGTGCTAGCTACTAGCTAGGTAGCTAACTTGATCCAGCCACTCCTGGTCCTTTCATCAGACGGGAAGCGAAAGAACAAGCAAGTCCCATTGCTGGTATGATAATAACCTGGTACTAAGCACACAGGCATCTTGTTAAAGTTATCTTATCTTAGCCAGTGCCATATAGATCGATTCTATCTATATGGCGCTGATCTTAGCTATCTCTTAGTGGAGAAAAACAATTGTGACATCACTTACGCGACTTTGGGATTTGTAGTCTTTATAGTTGCATATTTTTAATAGTCTTATATTTCAACAGTTTTACGACAAACTGTGACTTTTTTGACATGGAAATTATTTTTAAAGATTGACAAACATCATATGTGTAATTCATGGCACAATTCAAACGGGATCGAAAGATAAGTTTTCTCTTTCCATTGACTTCGATACATTATTTTTTCGAAATAAGGTCCCATGGACCCCGGAAGCGAACAATTTACATTGAATTCAATGGAGAGAGAACACGTATCTTTTGATCCCGTTTGAATTGTGCCACGAACTACACATATGATGTTTGTCAATCTTAAACAATCATTTCCATGTCAAAAAAGTCACATTTTGTCGTAAAACTGCTGAAATATAAGACTATGAAAAATACGCTACTACAAAGACTACAAATCCCAAATCCCATTCTGGGTCGCGTAAGTGATGTCACAGGCATGCTCGGTGATTTATAATAAGACTCGTAATTAAAGCGAAGAAGAAGAAGATCTCATAACTGATTTATTTCCTCCAATAAATTATAGATCGCTAAAAATAAATTCACTTTTACAAGATGCCTGTGTGCTTTGTACCAGGTTGTAGTCATAAAAGTGATCATACCACTTGCTCCTTCTATCGATTCCCGTCTGATGAAAGGACCAGGAGTCGCTGGATCAGACATATCAGGTAATATCATAGGTAATATACATGTTGTGCATGTTCATGTGCATAGTCAAGTTAGCTACCTAGCTAGTAGCGACGAGTAGCGAGCACGTTAGTTAGCATTACATTACTTAGCCTTGTCATTTTTAGTAGCCTTACCATGAAGTTATTATTTTATTACATGAAGTAAACCAAAATGTTAAACAGTAACCAAACATGATGGTAAGTATTTCGTGAAACTTTTGAAGAGTAGCCTACTGCGCCCTCCACCGGGTGCTAAGGAAGCAGTTCAGGGAGAGTCGAAGGCAGGCAGGGAGCTTTGCATGACATTCTTCTGGACGTGTTTCATTGTGATGACAATCTGTTTGTTGGAAAGACAGTCGTTGTGTGCTTATTGAGAGAAAATTGTTAGAAGAGATAATTATTCAAAGTGTTGTTACTTTAAAGTGTTGTTACTGACCTTTTTCTCTTTTATTTTCTTTACCTCACCTGTAACTGCTGAGACGTTGAGGAACATGCCACACTGACCTGCTCTGGCAACCTGATTTCCACTGTACGTAATAGTATTTGGTTATGGTATATTATTTATATACATCAAAGGCACAATGCACCCCCCCAGAGACACACATGTATTGAGTGTGATATTTTGCATAGGTCATGTGAAATCATCTTTACATACTAGAAAACTGTAGGAGCGGCAACTTGTTTTGAAATTGAATTTTTAATATCCGATAATAAAGTTGATCTGTTTTCTTTATTCTTCTCTCTTCCCAGCTCCATCCATCACCATTCTCTGTTCCTGCAGGTCCTGCTTGCTAATCAATGCTCATATTTTTTTACACAATTACAAATAAAGTCATTGTATTGTATGACATGAAGTTGTGCTTCATTCGGAGTCAATAATAAATTAATTCTGCCTTCAACTGCGCAATGATTGTGGACTGCACCGACATCCATGTAGCTGCCCCCTAGTAAGATGAACCAAGCAAAGAGGGTCCCCATCATGCCCAAGGACATCCAGCTGGCCCGCCGCATCCGCGGAGAGAGGGCTTAGACTGACCTGAGACCAGCACACCCAAACACAACGGCTCTTTTAAGAGCCACCTACATTTTCAAAGAGTTGCAATCCTACGTATTATAATGATTAAACTGGTTCATGTATCACTTAGTTTACTGAACCGTGATGAATGAAAGAATTTAGTGAGGGTAGTGGTTTACTGAAGTTACAAAGACATTCATATATGAGTAACAGGTCAGTGTAACACAAGCTTCTGTCAATTATGGATCATTCAAACTATTTATATAAAAATATGTAATAAAGTTCTAAAACAGTATTCGGTATATTCCTTGATAGCTTTTGGAGAAGGTTGTTTTTAAGTTTACTAAAATCTATCGTTTCAACTGTTTCACTTTATAAAAAGGGAACAGGTGAGTAGAGCATCATTGAGTTTCTTATTCTGTCAGTAAATTATCCAAATGAATGTTTTTCATTATTTTAGTCAACCCTAAACAAATTGATTGTACCTTTTAATGATGACCTTACATGGTCGGCAAAGTTAAATTAACTTCAGAAAATCAAATCTGTTCTGAGAAAAAACTAATAAATGTTTAAAGATAGGAACTTGCCATCCCACTGAAAAACAGTACGTAGAGATTTAAAGGCGTAGTTGTAGTTCAGTCCAACGTTTCATTTGGATTCATTTCTCCAACAGTCAACTATTTTCATAAAGAATATATATATTTTTCAAAGTCAACTTTATTGTCAATCTTACTCAGTTTGTGTTTATAGACAGAGAGATCAAAAAGACGTTTAAATAAAATTATACAATTTACAGATATGTATACAAATATATATATCCTATATACACCATCATGTATAATGATGGTGTATGATGTAGAAGGAAGTGTGTTAGATAACAAGTAAATATAGAGTTACATACAGATCCATGTTACAGCAAAAGATGGAATAACTAAGAAGCACGCAGTATAATAATAATTACATGCAACAATTAAATAACTGCTCAGCATCTCCACCACAATCCCAATCTGCTGTGTCCTGTTTTCCTCCCCTCTGCATAACACCCCATCACACATACGAAACACAACGCAGAGTCCGAGGGTGTTAAGAGTATGTTTATTTAAATGTCCTCCTCTCTACTGGCCAACACAGGGAGCATATGCTGGGTGTAGAATTTTTCCATGAGGAGGAGATTTCCATGCCATGCAGGGTCTTTGGGGATGGGGATGATGATCGCCTCCTTCGTGGTCCACACAACAAAGTAGCAGAGACTCCGGTCTGTGATGTGCAGCTGCCCTTGGACCTGGTGCCAGTATGGGTGATTCTCCTTGAGAATATATGACCCACCCCTCCTCACGGAGACAGAAGGATGGTAACTGGACTGCCTCCGCGATGGTCATGTTCCTCTGGCTGTGTGGACACTTCACCTCCAGCAGGGCAGATGGCTGCACAAGTCCATCGGGTGATGCTCCCAAAACACCCGACTCACTCACAAAGAGACCAGACTCGATTCTAACACTGTCACTTGATAGGCCTCCACAAAAGCCTTCACCCCTTCGGCCTCGTTTACAACCCCCAGTTGACAGTTGGCGATGTCTCTGGCCAGTGGGTTGTATGTCTCCTCTCGCTGTTGGTAAAGTTGAGACACCGGCTGGACTACTTTGGAAGTGCCAGGCTTCCTCCACTGGCACTCAACATCTGTGGAGCTGATCTGCCACATGGCAAATATTGCCAATGCTGCAGCGTGGCTGCATTTGTACATCTCCTGTGCACAATCACAGACAGCGCTCTGCATCGCGCCATCGTCTCCCATGCAGATCTGTAAAAATAAAGTAAGTACCATTTGTTAGCATGCTATAATATATTGAATGAGCAATAATACAAGGATGGTCCGGATCTGGGGGTGGGAGGGTTTATTTTTCCATAGTTTTGTCCCTCTTGTCTGTTGTTATTGTTTGTTTTTTCTGTATTTTTTGTAATTTGTGTTGTATTGGTTGTGATTGTACATTGTATTTTTCTAAATGTGTATGAATACATTTTTGAAAAACATTTGATCAACAATAAAAAAGGATTTGGTCAGGATCTAGACTCAGTGTGTAGTTTATTAATTAATCAATGCTCTCTACATTAGGAAAACACATACCGGTGTACCAGAGGGAGTCACACACAGCTGTGCCTAGATAACCAAAATCCTTGAATCGACACACAGCAAATAACTCAAATGACACAACGAGAAAAAGGAGATCACACATACAGTATAGTCGATATAAAACTGGCCGCTTCAATCTGAAGAGCAACTAAAACAAAACACGGGAGTGTACCTTGTTCTTGTGAACACTAATGTTATCCACAGCATACACAGAGACCACGAAGTTCTTAAGGAGAAAACTAGTTGCTAAAACAAAACACTTTAGTGTACCTTGTTAGCTAATGTTAGCTAGCTGACATTAACGTTACACATTGCCCTCATATTACTCACCGAAACCTTGTAAAGCCGGTCCCGCATGCTGGCTCTTACAGAACCGACTAACTCCCCTTTCATATAGGTACAGTTCTCAACGTGCCCAGACTTGTAGTGATTTTCACCTCGTAAAATACTTTTATTCTCATTCTGAAAGAATGTGGTGAAATGTGCTAATGTGACAGCCATCTTTATGTTGGTGACGCGTATTGTGCGAGACCAGAGACCTGTAGTTCACTGAGCGGTTTCACCCGAAAAAATGTGTAACTTCACAGTTTTACGACACATTATTTATTTTTTGACTTGCAAAATGTTCTTTTAAATTGACAAACATCATATGTGTCATTCGTGGCACAATTCAAACGGGATCAAAAGATAACCTTTCTCTCTCCATTGACTTCAATGTATAATTTTCCGCTTCCGGGGTCCCATGGAGGCTTTCGGAAGGGGAGGGACTTCGCCTCTCGATAGCAGCACCGTTTGTCCAGCGGCTTACCGGTATACCGATACCGTCCAATCAGGTATCGGTATTGACTTAGTACCGGTTCTCGATACCCATCCCTAGTGATAAACCTGAACCATTGTCTGCCTTGGATGGATACAATTCATCTTAAAGTCACTTAATTAAAGTCAATTTACTAGAACAATGAACAAATACTAGGGCTTCTAAAATCATAAAATTCAATAACATTACCACTATTTTCCAGCGTTTAAGAAGAAGACGTTTGTGAGGATCAGTGCTGACTTTGACATGAGTGACCCAGCCGTCCAACAACAAATCGTGATCCAGGTGAGAATAATACATCTTGTTTCATATTTGCATTTATAACAGTTTACTCCCGTAGTTATTAACAATATATAATAACTTTAGCGTATGAGTGGCTGGATTTCAAGTTGGGACAAATGTAACTCCTGGTATTTGTGTATGTTTCTTAGCTGGAGGCAAAGATGAGAGACATGGGAATCACTGATTTCAAGATCAACTGGAAGATGTCCGGACAACAAAAACAACCATGACAACCTCCCATTGAATTAACTTGTTTAGTTGTACATGCTTGTTCACTTGTATACATTCTGCAATGTTTAAGTAACCCTCTCAGAGAGACATTTTATAAAAGTTGATGTCAAACTCAAATGTTAGTTGTGTGTAAGAATATACTATACTATAAGTCTAAAATAGACAGTGTCTAAGCAAGGTGTCATAACATTTTACATGTAACGTACTTTTTTTGGCAATTTAAGTTCAATATGTGAACAACATTATGATTTTTTAGTAATGAAATGTATCTAATTTCAGTTTGACTTGTGCATTTAGTGTCGGTTTTTAAATATAGATTTTATTTGTTTTTAATCCTCTTTCGTTTTCTGTGTAAGGAGCCTTTGTGAATAGCTGAGTTTAGAAATGTGCTGCAGGAGAGTTTGCCTGTTTACTGGCTTGTAAAAACTCCAATATAAAGCCCAAATATCTTGAAGTCATCCTCAATATAATTGACCTTTACATTTTGGGCCTTGTTTTTCAAGCCTTCTATTGACAGATAAATGATGTAAAGGGGGAGTAGTTGAAACAATGTGAACTTATTTGTGTACTTGCGTAAATAAATGCAGTACCTTAAACCTCTTTGTTTGATTTACTCAATGTAACTGGAAGAAAAGCATTGTATATTAGTTGCTTTTTGCCATGTACTGTTAAATTAAGAAGTTAATTGTCACAAAATGAAAGAGATAAGCTAGCCTGTTTTTGCATTTCAAAATGATGCATGACTAATATGGTTAATACTTGATTATTTAAGATGCATTTGAGATCAGACATATGTATCATTTGCCCCTTCAAATGTTTCTAATACTTATTGTGAATAAATAAACACATTTAAAAGAGGAATGAAAAAGCCCATTTTGTTAAAATAAATTTTTCCGAGTAATGCTCGCACATCAGACAACAGAGAGTTAAAGGGGCCTTAATGCTCTAATTTTCAGGTGTATATCAGTATGTAGTGTCTCTACTTTAAAGAGTCCTCTCCTGCTGATGTTCAGGTGTATATCAGTATGTAGTGTCTCTACTTTAAAGAGTCCTCTCCTGCTGATGTTCAGGTGTATATCAGTATGTAGTGTCTCTACTTTAAAGAGTCCTCTCCTGCTGATGTTCAGGTGTATATCAGCATGTAGTGCTCTACTTTAAAGAGTCCTCTCCTGCTGATGTTCAGGTGTATATCAGCATGTAGTGCTCTACTTTAAAGAGTCCTCTCCTGCTGATGTTCAGGTGTATATCAGTATGTATGTCTCTACTTTAAAGAGTCCTCTCCTGCTGATGTTCAGGTGTATATCAGTATGTAGTGTCTCTACTTTAAAGAGTCCTCTCCTGCTGATGTTCAGGTGTATATCAGTATGTAGTGTCTCTACTTAAAGAGTCCTCTCCTGCTGATGTTCAGTGTATATCAGTATGTAGTGTCTCTACTTTAAAGAGTCCTCTCCTGCTGATGTTCAGGTGTATATCAGTATGTAGTGTCTCTACTTTAAAGAGTCCTCTCCTGCTGATGTTCAGGTGTATATCAGTATGTAGTGTCTCTACTTTAAAGAGTCCTCTCCTGCTGATGCTCTACTTTAAAGAGTCCTCTCCTGCTGATGTTCAGGTGTATATCAGTATGTAGTGTCTCTACTTTAAAGAGTCCTCTCCTGCTGGTGTTCAGGTGTATATCAGTATGTAGTGTCTCTACTTTAAAGAGTCCTCTCCTGCTGAGTTCAGGTTATTTATGTAGTGTCTCTACTTTATCCTGCTCCGGATGTTCAATGTATCAGCATGCAGTAGTGCCTCTACTTTAAAGAGTCCTCTCCTGCTGATGTTCAGTGTATATCAGTATGTAGTGTCTCTACTTTAAAGAGTCCTCCCCTGCTGATGTTCAGGTGTATATCAGTATGTAGTGTCTCTACTTTAAAGAGTCCTCTCCTGCTGATTTTCAGGTGTATATCAGTATGTAGTGTCTCTACTTTAAAGAGTCCTCTCCTGCTATGTTCAGGTGTATATCAGTATGTAGTGTCTCTACTTTAAAGAGTCCTCTCCTGCTGATGTTCAGGTGTATATCAGTATGTAGTGTCTCTACTTTAAAGAGTGCTCTCCTTCTGATGTTCAGTGTATATCAGTATGTAGTGTCTCCGTGACATGGCACCTCTTTTCACCCCTCTGTCTGAAACCAAGCCCAGTCTGCTCTGATTGGTTAGCTGGCCGGCTCTGTTGTGTTTGGACAACCACTCAGATATGTCCCGCCCCTTAGCCTATCACCTACCTACAATGTGCTAGGCCAGTGGTTCCCTACCTGGGGCTTTTCTGGATAAGCACATTTAAAAACATAGTCATTGTCCATGCCGGTTTCAGTTGGATTATTGGTCACAGTTGCTCCGATCAGATCGGTCTCCTCCATTTTGTAGATTATTTACGACTTTTGAATCCACATAAATCTGCAAAATCCAGTTTACTTTGAGCACGTGTTTTAAACAGTTTGATCCCTTTGTGAATTGTTTCCACTTCCGTGCCGTCCTTTAATTTCTTCATACAGCGGGAATCCAAATGAATTAATCCTGAGTCCAATAACCATCAAAGTCATTCCAATAGTGCTCCTTAATTACACTTTCATCCTCCTTTAACAAAATGCTTCACATTCATCCAGTTTGTGACAGTAGTTGTAGCATTTTTGAGACTTTTAAACGTTAATTACCGCTGTTGCGCCCCCCCTTGTGTGTGGGGGGGCGCAACTTCCAAAAGGAGTCATTTGGGGGGGATCTTGGGATAAAAGGTTGGGAACCACTGTGCTAGGCAATAGAAGCACTAGTGTTACCTACTGATTTCAATATATTACAGAAGTAAACAAATGAGTCCAATGGAGGCGTTTTTACATACTTCTGTGTGTGGAAGAGAAACTTTGGGATTTTAGCCTTTGCAGACGCAGCCCCACCTAGTGTCAGCAGAAAGTATTAAAATAATGATTACAACAAAATGCAAAAAATTAATTAAAATATATATAAAATATATTTTAAGATCATGTTTAATCATCTGATTCGTCTGTACATTGCTGTTTTAGTCTGTGTTCTTCTAATTAGTGTCTACAGCAGGGGTGCCCAACCTTTTTTGAACCGAGAGCTACTTTTAAAGTTGCCAGTCTGCTGAGATCTACCAGTCCAAATAGAGAGGCGTAGCCATTACTACCAGGTAAATACACACTTCTACTTGAATAAAACTGACCTTTGTACGATTAATACTTCATAAAATACTGCAGATCCTTTATCTTACCTCTTTCTAATCTACACCACATACAAGTATTTAACTGAAGTTACACAACGTGTTGTTGATACGGAGTTGGAGTTTTATTCACACGTCACATACTACAAGTGGGTAATGTTTTCAAGAAACATTGAACAGTGCTGCCACATATGACACAGGAAAAAGGAAAGACTCTGAACCCTTCTTGCCATTATATAAAAATAGTGTTTGCTACAAAAGTATAAATTAGGCTTACTAATAAGACGACTCAGATCTGAAGCTACCAGGAATCTGCTGCCAAAGTGCAATAAAAAAGACAAAATTATTAGAATCAAACCCTTTTTTTTGTTGCATTTTAGTAGATTATAAAATAAATGCCTTTTAAATAGGATGCAAGCAACACTAGCTTCTTAACCTGAATGATAATAGACTATAATCAATTGAAGTTTGCATTCTTATACCATTTTGTACAATAATTATAATGAATAAGTTTCAAACAAACTAAAACGTACAGCTGATTAATAATGGTATCTAACTTAGTTTTTATTATATCAAAAACCTGTTAGAAATGCTACTGTTATTTTTACTGTCCCCCAAAAGCGCGTCAGCGCCTCCAGGCAGGAATGTTTCTTTCCACAACTTCGCCGTCTTTGAAAGACTTCATGTGTTTCGCAAGAACGTGACTGACACGATAAGATGCTCTGGTAGCAGGCCTTGCTCTTGTTGTTGGGCCTGGTGAAAATGGACTGCTGTGCATTTAGCGGTCCTTTCAGGCCCCTCCCCTTTTGGAGCGTAGGGCAGAATTAGGAGGGAACTCCGTCTCGTAGCTTTTGTGCACTGTTTTGAAATGTCGCTCCTAAATTACCCCTTCTTCGATAAAGCCCACGCTCGCATTGCAGATGAGACAGATGGACTTGAATTGGAATAGATACAAAAATAATCATCCTCCACTCGGAGTGAAATTATATATTTTGGGCTTTTTTGCTTCTGCCATAATTGCGGTCTTGTGTGTGTGCGGACTGTCACTCCGACACGGTGCCCACTGCCCAACAGCCACGCCCAGACACATGGGGTCACGCCGGCCAATCACAAAGCTTTGATGCGTTCAAGTACATTATTCTGGCACAGGAAGATTATGTTATAGGACATTAACGATAAAACAGAATATTGTTGTTCTATTTTTAGACACATCTCGCGATCGACTGGGAATCTCCCCGCGATCGACCGGTCGATCGCGATCGACTGGTTGGGCACCCCTGGTCTACAGTGTGTGCCTATTGAGCTGTTTACAGCCATGTGGGACAAAACCCAATCCTGCCCCTCCCTCTCACTGTCTAAGTGCTGAGAGTATTTTCCTATTAATGTGTGTAGCAAAAAATAATGACCATCCCCACCATACGTCATCTCACATAATTCAGAGCTGATTGGCTGTAAGTACGTCTGCCGCGAAAAGTGTGGTGTGTGAAGAGGAGGAGAGAGACGCGTCCTAAAACCAGGAAGTAAACTGCGCATGGCTTCCCTCCACAAAAAAGCAATGAGATTTCTCCATAGGATTTTAGAAAATAGCTCAAAATAAGATCTGTGGGAAACGTAGCTGTTAGATAAATGCACGTTTTGTTCAGCCAGATAATATCCTACTTTTATCATTTTCGAATCATAAATCTATCGATTAGATTAGATTTATGATAGACTTTTGAAACTACAAGAAGATAGGGAGGACTTTTACAAAAAAGTAATAGAGATTTTTGTCCAGAAGGATAGGCAAATGGACTTCATCTTCAAGTCAAGGTAAGACTACAATTTTATTGAATTTAAATGATAAAATTACATTTTTTGGGTATCCTTCTGTTGAACTGTCTGTTAAAATTAATTGAAGCATCAGACAAAAAAAGCTTTTGAAAATAATATTATATTTTGATTTAGGTCAAAATATAATATTTGTAAACCTGAAGAGTCAGTGCCAGTGCCTCGCCAGTAATGAACCTCACTGCAGAAGCTTATAGACATCTAAGTTTGTTGTGCCCCACCACTTTTGCACATATAGAAACGCCACTGTGCAGACGATTTACATGCACAAAAAACCTATACAACACACTACAGGAGAGGGGAAACCCCAAAAAGCACAATAGGGCCTCTTTAAAAGCTGAGAACCTTTTGATGTAAAAGATTCCGACAGACGGTCAATCAATAGTTAGTCTCATTTCATTAAACAGTTGTAATTGGTTGTAAATGTCCGGTTAGTCATACACACAAAAAATTATTTTAATTCAATC